TATATATATATATATATATCCCAAATCTGACCATTTCTTTTTTAGTATATGTGCTGCCGAAGCAAGCACCCAAATCTGACCATTTCTTACCCATGCACTGCCACCATTATGACCTCTCACCAGAATTACTGCAGTAGGTCTCCATGCCTCAACCTTTGCCACCCCTGGTCTATTTTCATCATAGCAGCCCAAGTGAACCATTTAAAAGATGCAAGAGCCTCAAGAACTTGGGGTCCCCTCAGGAAGAGAGTGCAAGGAATGTACTCAGTTTTTTGCAGTTCTGAGGATTGAACCGAGGGCCTTCATACTGAGCTGTCTCAGTCCCGTTTAAAATTTTTAAATTTTCAAATAAGGTCTCACTATATCACTGTTTCCTTGACCATGTGATCCTCCTGGCTCAACCTCCCAGAGTGCTGGCATTACAGGCATCCACCACCATACCAGATAAGGAATGTATTCTGAATAGCAGAAGGAGAAAACAAAAAAAGGTGGTGCACTATTTGAGAAGAGAATTACTCAATGTTCAATATTTAACAAGAGAGAAAGATGCTGAAAACTTCACCAGGAAACGTACAAATGTGGTTGTTATTTTAAATTTGCAGGACCAACTGAGGGAAAGGAAAAGCACGAGCAAATAATTTAATCAGCAGTGGCACTAACAGCGATCATCAGCTGCTATCTGTGAACTGGGTATAAACAACCAGAGACTGAACTGATCATGTTTTGTCTTGAGTTCTGGAAGTTCCCCCTGCCTAGCTCCTTTGGGATTCCCATTCTATCAGTAAAACTGTCTGTAAACTGGCTAGGCCTAGTTAAGTATCTGGAAGCACTAGGTCTGGCCATGGCCTCTAACATCCCAAGGATGATAACCTTTACAAATCTCCTTTGTCCAAAATTGCACTATTCACCCACAGATCCTATATTTATTTACTTATTTATTAATTTTTTTGGTACCAGGGATCAAACTCAGGACCTTGCATTTGCAAAGTAGGCACAGTGCCACTGAGCTAAATCCCTGGGCCCTATTTGTTTATTTATTTAGTGCTGGGGATTGAAACCAGGGCCTTGTGTTTGGTAGGTAAGTGCTCTATCACTAAGTCCCAGATCCTATATTTAGAATTCATTTCCTCTTCTTCCCAAGTAGCTTTTGTTATCCCAGCTCAATGGAAAGTATGATGACCTCTATCCCTTAGATCACCCAGATAAAGCATTGCCGGGCTGGGGATTTAGCTCAGTGGTGCCGCCACCTGCCTCACAAGCACAAGGTCCTGAGTTTGATCCCGGGTACCACACACACACACACACACACACACACACACACACACACACCCCAAAAAACAAAAAACAGAGCTTCCAGTGGGCCAGTCTTGGTCTCATCAGACCAAAGCATAAAAGCCCTCACCCAAGTTTATGCACAAAAATTCTAGAACCTCCAAGGTTGGGGGTAACACATGAGGCTTCAATAATCAGTGTCATAATCTAGAATTACAGAACACTCTGGGTGGTTGATTCTTTCAAGGCAGTATGAAGAAACAAATGTTGATGGAACTGATTCACATTATTGTGGAACTCATTCACACTATTGTGCGTAGCTGTAGTTTCCTAATATCCATTGCTGAATGGTATCTCAGTATTAATATCTCCTCCTCACAACATTAGACTGTTAATGATTTGGTTGTTTATTGTTTGGAATAGTTATAAACAATGCTAAAATAAACATTATATGTTAAAAAAATGGAAGAGCATCCTGAGTCCTGGATTAAACCACTATTCCTGTAATAGCCCCAAGGCCCCATGTTACTCCTCTGATCTACCACTACTTTACCCATTGGTTATTCCATCCAGTCAAATCAGACTTTTGGTAATCATCCAACCTGGCAGTGCTGGCATGCCATAGAGCCATCACACTAGCCATTCCTCCTGCCTGCAATGTTCTTAAAATCTCCACAAGGCTCTCTTCCTCCCTTCCTTTATATCTACTTCCATGTTCCCTCCATAAACCTATATGGCCACACTGTCTAAAAAATTGTAATTTGTATCATCAGCTACATTTCCCTCTATTCTGCTCTATTTCTTCAAATGATTATTGTGTAAGTTTACAAACAAGATATTTCATTTTGTTTGTGATTTATTCTTCCTCTCCAGACCAGATGAAATGAGGCAGGAAATTAGGGTGTGGCTAGCTGGCTGGGCAAATGGATGTGACCTGTCATCATGGAAATCTGGGACACATGCAAAAAAAGTTCGAAGCCCCACACCTGGGACTAATCAGAAAATGCTATTTTCAATTCTTCTGGCACAAAATCAAGCAAGTTTTTGACAGGATGGCCTAGATCTGACATCAACTTGAGGAGTGAGTGGAAGATACAAAAGACTATGGCCTTGTGGCCACTGTATGTTCTTTCAGAAGCCTGCTCTCACTTTGCAGAGCATATTTCTTTTTCTTCCTTTGATAAATGTAAACCTTTTTTTGTTTGTTTTGTCCAATTCTTTGTTCAGGACAACAAAAACCTGGAATCTCTAGAAGGAGCCCACAGCACCCCAGAACCCCAGTAACAGAAAGCCTGAAAGAGTAGGATTTCTGTTTTTTTGTTCATTTATAAAATGTGAACTCCTAGCTGTACCTGGCACATAGTAGGAGTTCAATGAATGCTTATGTAAGAGAGGAAGAAAGTAAAAGGGAGGGAGGGAGAAAACTAGGAAGGAAGAAATTGTGCCTGGAAGAAAAATAAATAATAAGATAATAGAATTCAGAAAAGGACTTTCGAAGATGGGAAAGATTTGAACATACCTCACTTCTAAGGAATCAGTGGAGGATGAAGACACAAGAGAATGAGTTGAACCAGTTTTCTGAGTGTGTGAGAAGAAATGGGATCCAGAGGACAGAGGGTAGGATTAGTTCAGGGTGGAAAAGTCCAAGGCTACAAAGACCAGCTTCAGAGCCTAGTGACAATCTCAATTCCTCAGCAAGGGTGCACAGGGTAAAACTTCACCATGGGGTTTGTATTACTATGCAAGAATTGGTTCCTGGGATTCTGAGCCTCTCTCTTGATGGCTAGGCTTGGTTTCGACCAACAGTACTCCCCACTGCCACCACCCCCAATTGTCTGCTTTGACAGGCTAATGGATGACCTGTGCAGCTGCAGGGAATGAAGAAAGGCTAGATGCTGATGCAGGTAAGTTACAGGCTTACTGGGAGGACCCCAGGAGGAAGTGCTGCTCTTGTAGCTTGTTTTTTACAGGAGCAGATAAGATCATCTGCTATGATTTAATTGTGCAGCTCATGGGGTGGATTTTGCGGGGGGCGGGGGAGAGCAGAGTTTGGATTTACTTTTATTATGGAAACTAGGAGAATATTAGGAATTGCTCTGTTGTAATAGCTGGTGAAAGCTTACTGAGGGTACACAGGATTGTGTCTAGTTTAGGTTAATGGTGAAAATTTATGGTTACTAGAACTTGCTCAGTTGTGTAATATGGCAACCTTTGGGGCAGGCATGGAGTTTCACCTCAGAGCTAAATTCTTTTCTTTGATCAGGTAGGTGAATTAGAATGATGGGGTGGTCATTCATGGCAGCAAAAGTATCCTGACTGACCAGATGGACAGTGAAATCTAAGCCAGCTGAGAAAAAGAGTGAAGATAGAAGAGAGCCAATAGGATACAATCAAGGGTTCTATGGACTACAGCAGGGCTAGATCCTGAATCACTATTCAGTCTAGGGTGAGGGCCAGAATCTCTCATTTTTAGCAAGGCTCCTAGTTGATTCTGATATAAAAGGGCCATGGAGAATTTTTTGAGAAATAGTGGATTTAAAGTGGTAGTAAATTGCCGGGTGTGGTGGCGCACACCTGTGATCCCAGCACCCAGGAGGCTGAGGCAGGAGGATTGCTGGGAGTTCGAGGGCAGCCTGGGCTACAGAGTAAGTTCAAGGTCAGCCTGAACTACACAATGAGACCCTGTCTCAAAAAAAAAAAAATGGTAGTAAGTTTAAAGAAATGATCTCTTGAAAGAACAAAAGGGAGAAAGAAGGAAAGAGTGTTCTTAGGCATGAGCTAGAAGGACATGTGGTTATAGCATGAGAAAATGACTTTATTACCTCCAAGATGACACAGCCCTGAATAATGCAGGCCCAAGGGAGTGGGTGATTGCAGTAGACTGGAGGTGAACATCACTAGGGCCAAGGGGGTCAAGGTCTAAGGTTGTTCCTGTGGACTTTGAAACCACTCAAATAATGGTAGTACTTGGAATAGAGAGGCAAAACCAAGAGCAAAATTCAAAGGCACTGGTAAATGAGGGGAAGGGATCTACATAGCTAAAGTGAAAAAATGGGACTGAGGGTTGTAACTGGTTATGAGTTTGCACACAGTGGAGGAAACGTGAAACTTTCAAGTGAGTGTTTATTGTTTACTAGGCTTTACAGAGATTAGGCCATTAATCCTCACAGACCACCTTCCTATGAAGAAGTGCTGTTTGCATTCCCCATTTATAATTCAGAAACTGAATCACAGAGAGGTTAAGCTTCTCACAGTTCTTATCCACTACGCTATGCTGACTTACATAAAACAATAGAAGCATTTCATTTTTCCCCTGTGGTGTTGGGCATCTAACCCATGGTTTCAAGCACATTCACCCTTAAACTACATTGATATCTTAGGGGAAGCTGTTTTAATACACTTCAACTGAAAAAAAAAAATCAAATTTCCTGAAGACTGTTAGCAGTGAAGTGAATTAGAAAAACAACGGAGAGAGTTACTTAAATTTGTTTGTATTGAATTATTTGTTGCTCAACATCCAGCAGGTGGCAGCACTGAGTTATAGGGCCATACTAGGCCATCTAGTGGAAACAGTCACACATTCTGCCCACTTTGAGATCTCTGTCTATTCCAGGTCTTGATGATTTCCTCAGCAGCATCCAGTGTACTGTCTTTCTGTAAATCAATGAAACAATTGCAATCATTACATAGAACACAAATTCAAGATGAAGATTTACAGGCCATAATAACACTACATGAAGATTTAAGTGATCTTAGGTGAAGAAAAATTTTCAAAGTGCAAAAGGCAAATGCAGAAGCAAAAAAATTTAATAAAATCAATTATAGAAACAAGTCAAAGAGTACAGAAGAGGTTAAAGTGAAAAAGAAAAGCAATCTGCTCCAATCCTGGCATCATTCCCCATTAATCCCCTCATTTCCCAAGACCTTTTATGTCAATTTCCATCTAAAGAATGTACTCATGCTTCTACTTTATTTGTGAATTTCACAGATTAGTCACTGTACTTTGCTCTGTACAAGGAATATTTAGTTCATTCGAAACATTAGTCTGCCCTTTCCTATCAAAATTTCAATTAGTTATTGAAAAGTGATCTACTTAGTTTTTGAATAGGTAATGCATGCCTACGATATAAAGTTAATTAAACTGAAGGGTAAAGAATGAGAATCTAGCCTTGTGTTTTCCTCTTTTGTTTTATTTTTTTCTTTCTTTTCCCTGTCAAATGATTCAGTACGGAAGCCACTAGGTGTGGCTGAGCAAAGTACATGTCCAGGCGCAGAGGCTGCCTGGTGCAAGGTGTTGCAGTCCTAGTGGAGCAAAGATGCCCAATGTGGGTAGAAAACGCTGGGTGCACTTGTAATCACAGCACTGTGGAAGGCTGAGGCAGGAGGATCATAAGTTAGAGCCCAGTTTGAGCAATTTAGCAACTTAATGAGAACCTGTTTAAAAAAAAAAAGGCTGGGGATGTACCTCAACACAAAAGCCCTAGGTTCAAAGCCCATTCTGCCCCCCACCAAAAAAATAGAAAAAAATAAAGGTGGTAGAGGTGGCAAATGATGACACTGACTGGAAACAGTGTCAGAGCACAAGTATGTGACACAGCCGTGTGGTAGGGGGCCTCAGTCAGGGTACTGGACTCTGGCTTGTGCTGTCAGACCCCAAAAGGGGTGAGGTTTCTATGCAGCGAGAGGCAGAGGTGGCCTGGAGCGGGGTGCTGGGGACTCATGGGGGGGCACCACCACTGGAGGGTGAGAGCAGATAGGCATGGGGGGCGGAAGACAAGGCAGGGATAAACTATGGTCACATGGAGGTGGTGGAAGCAGTTTGGTTCAAACTGTCCAAGCCTGGGTGCAGGAAAAGGCATCCGCCCAGAGATTTGGGTGAGTGGGTGGGGAAGCACTGGCATCGATGGGAGATTGATCATATATAGAGAGAAGTAGTGATCAATTACATAATTAAATCATGGGCACCAGGCTTTCCACTGGTGAAGAAGGGAGTTACAAATATGGAAAGGGAAAAAGCTAAAATAAAACCTGTTGGTAGTTTTCAGTATATTTGGATACTGTCACATCAGAGGTGAGCAGCTAGCTGGAATTTGAAAACAGCACCAGTACTGAATTAGAGGGATGGAGTTTAAGAAAGGAAGAGGATTTATTTATAAGGAGAAAAAACCCTAAAAAACCAGAAGATAGAAACAAGCTGCCCTGGAGAGAGGGCAGGGGGGTCCAGAAAAAGATAGGGACCTTTCCTTCCAGGTGGATACTGGGAACTTATCCCAGTCTGATTGGTTCCCTGGGCTGTCTCTGGATGAGTCCCAGGCCTCAAGACTCAAACCCAGGCACTTTTGTCTACATGGATATTCCTTTTGGTGGGCTTTGTTTGACTTTCTCCTCCCCTTTTGTCCTTGTTAGGGCCTTACCTCTAGGATTTATAGGTTGATTAGGAGGAGACTTATAGAAAAGGCAGCTTAGAGCTATTGATTAAGTAGGGGATGCTTGGGCATCTAGTGCAGTAATAGTGACCCCAAAGTTAGGTACCCACTCCTTATTTCCTTTGCATTTTATTGAGGTCAGGGGTTATCCTGGTGTTGGGCTCCTGGCTTCCTTCATGCTCTGCCTATCAGCTCTTCCTCTGGTTAATCTCTCCATTAGAGAGCATTCCTTCCTTGGTTTTAAGTCCTTATGCTACTTGGGCTATCTGGTGCCTTTCTGTGTCTGGTTTCTTTCTTTCTCTCTACCTTTGTCCTTTCAATTGCTTCTAAAGGAATTCCTCAGTAAAGTATTATCTTCTTTAGCCAGGATTAGCCAGTGAATCTAACTGCATAGGCAAAAGCTGTTTTTAGTAAGATTTTCTACTAACTTCTTTTATAAAGTTTAATGAGGCCTTTATTCTATTTTTTCCCTCCTCCAGACCTTTCTCCCTACAGATACAAATAAATACAGAAGTAAATTTGTACACAATCAGTCTTCCAAGTCCACTGGTTCTGCATCTTAACCAACTGACAATTAGAAATGTTTGGAAAAAGAAATTATAGCTTGGCATGGTGATGCACATTTTTAATCCCAGCACTCAGGAGGCTGAGGCAAGAGGCTAGCCTGGGTTATGTGATAAGTTCAAGGCCATCCTGGATTACATAATGAGACCTTACCTCAAAAAACAACAACATTCTCAGCCAGGCAATGGTAGCACATGCCTATAATCCCAGCTCTTGGGAGGCTGAGACAGGAGGATCTCCATGTGAGGCCAGCCTGAACTACATAATGAAACCCTGTCTCAAAAAATAAAAAACAAAACAAAACCCAACAAAAAATAAATTATGTCTGTACTGAACATGTACAGATTTTTTTCTTTGTTCTCTAAACAATACAGTAAAACAACTATTTGCATGGCATTTACATTGTATTAGATTATAAATAACCCAGAGATAATTTAGGTTTTATATGTAGATAAAGGACTTGAACATTCACAAATTATGGTATTGGGGTGATCCTGGACTCCTTGTATACAGAGGAATGACTGCAAGATCTTTAATGATGATGTGTCAACTTGACTTGATTAAGAAATTCCCAGGGGGTTGGTAAAGCACAAGTCTGGTTGTTTCTGGATGGGTCATGGGCAAGTGATCTCAGGGATTCTGTATGGTCCCTGGCCCCTTCCTCCCTGGTGCCTGCTTAGTGGCTGCCATGAACTAAGAAGCTTTCACCATGACATTCTTGCCTTGGAGCCAGCAACCATGGACTGAACCCTCCGAATCCATAAGTAAAAATAAACATTTTTTTCTTTATTTTATTTTATTTTATTTTTCTGGTTGCTTGAGACAAGGTCATGCTATGTAGTCCAGGCTGGCCTCAAACTCACAGTGATCCTCCTGCCTCAGGCTCCCAAGTGCTGGGATTATTGGCATGCACCACAACACTTGGCCATTTCCTCCATTAAATTGTGGGTATTGGGTATTGTGTTCCAGTGACAGAAAAGTTGCCTAATACAGGCTACATTACATATAAATGTTTGCATGCCTGGATATGCATTCCTATATTCCCCATCTCTGTCTACAGGGAGGGTCTGGGAAAGCAACATCCTAATAGCAGTGAGTGCTCTTACTGTTTAGATGTTGGTTTGTAAGCATCACTTGTATTACAAATGGCTGATTCTAATGAATAAAATAGGGATCAATGACTCATTACTGGTACTAATGAACAGGTAAAATGAATAAACTGGTTTATGTGACATGGAATATTTTCATAGTTTCAAAGTACTTTGCCACAAAATATCTAATATTTTTTAATGGAAAAAGTGTAACTTTACAGTCGAAAGGCCTATCAAATACCACTTGATCCATTTATACCAGTAAGAGCAAAACTGAAATCACGTATCCCCTGATGTAATAAAAAGAAGAAAGCGGTACCTCTGTGTTTTCCTGCCAAAGTGCATAACCTCCATTCAACCGTGGGAAAACACCAGACTTAAATTCAGGGGCTTTCTGAGTTGGCTGATAATTTTTAAAAAGTATCAAAATCACAAAAGTCAAATCAAACTGAAGAAACATTCTAGCTCCAAGGAGACACGATGACTGAATGCAATGCATAATTCTGGCCTGGATTGAGTGACTGACTTGATCCTGGCTTGGGTTGACTTATTTGTTATATAAAGGACATTATTGGACAATAAGTGAGAGTTGGACTGGATTTGAGGATTGACATGATAATAGCAAAGGAGTGTTAAGTTCATGATGTTAAGGGTTATACTGTGGCTTTGGAGGAGAATATCCTTGTTAATAAAGGACTTGGGGGGTGGGCATCCATGAATAATTAAATTGATGATTTACTCTGAAATGGTTTTTTTTTTGAGACACGGTCTTGCTATACAGCCCAGGATGGCCTTGAACTCACAGCAATCCTTCTGTCTCAGTCTCCTGAGTGCTGGGATTACAGGCATGTACCACCACACCTGGGTTGAAATGGTTTTTTTTCCTTTTTTATTTTGGTACCTGGGATCAAACTCAGATCCTTGCACTTGCGAGGCAGGCGGCAGAACCACTGAGCTAAATCCCCGGCCCTTGAAATGGTTTTTTAATTTAAATTTTTTGGTTCTGGGGATCAAACTCGGATCCTTGTGCCTACAAGGCAGGCAGCAGAACCACTGAGCGAAATCCCCGGCCCTTGAAATGGTTTTTTAAAAAGTTCTTGAAATTTTATATTGAAAGCATTTCAAAATGCCTTATAAACTGGGCATGGTGGCACCAGCCTGAACTACATAGCGAGACCCTGTTTCAAAAAACAAAAAATAAAAAAACAAAACAAAAAAACAAAATGCCTTTTAAAGTAGGTCAGCCTCCCATCTATGTCCCTCAGCTTTTCTCTCCAGAGATAACACTGGGAGCTTTTTTTCCCACCTAGGGCAGTCTTTTTTTTTTTTTTTTTCCGGTAGCGGGGATCAAACAGGACCTTGCATTTTCGAGGCAGGCACGGCACCACTGAGCAAAATCCCCAGCCTGGGCAGTCTTTTAATTTTTTAAATTTTTCTTTTTTTTTTTTTTTTCAATACTAGGAATTGAACCAAAAGTCTTTGTACTGAGCTACATCTCCAACCCTTTT